GGATACCGGAGATTTACACAATAATACGGAGGACATTTGATCCTCTCGTCCAGAATTCTGACAGCGGCAGCGGAACGTCGTCCTGACTATCCAGGAGGGATTATCTTGCTAGCCCTAAGGGTTCCGAGGTCTGAAGTGAAACTGTGTACAATCCCACTAATAATCAAGGCGGGGTTTTACTGTATCAAGTTGCATGCTCGGTACTGTCAGCTCGCTCTCGAGCTTGCCCGACACCGCAGCTTTCCTGCTCATATATTTTGCAACCAAATAGTTCACATAAAAGGTGGCGGGAAAGTTCTCAGAGGATCGCGTGCCAGGTTAGGTTTCCAGCAATGCGGACCGCCATGAATGACCTAGGTCCGTAGGCATTGGGCAGAAAACGGGGGAACTGTTGCCGCGCGGCGGTACATCGGTAACTTGGGCCCCGTTCAGAAAGACAAGAACGCAAGCCTCGTCCAACGCTCCCGAGACCACAGAGAGACGACATCACCGCTGCGTCAGTCAACAGAAACAGCTCACCTTCTCAAGTCAACGGCGGTCACTGGAAGATTTTAGCCGTCAGCAACTTCGGAGCCAGGGGTGAGGTTTAGAAGCTGATTACTCGCTCGCAAATGCTCTACGGTAGATTGTAAAGTGTTCAGCTCAACTTCAGCCGATCGCAGTTTAGCTCTCAAGAACTCCTTGACCTCCGCTTCATAAACGGCGGCTGTCCAATTCGATACCTTGCTGTAATCCCAGAATTGGACCGCAAACTCGCACAGAATGTCGAAGGTAACGTGGAAAAAGCGCCCCATGGTCGCCAACCACTGCGGCACCCTGCTTCCGACACAGAGCGTGGCAAACACGCCGCAGTCGATCTCAGTCGCTCTCCGCAACTTGAGCAACTTCCCTACAATCAGGAACACCACATCGTGAAGCCCCTGTCGCGGAGGGAACGGATCAAACTGACTTTGTAGAAATTGAAGGCTATTCCCTATCCTAAGGCCCTTCGTGATGTCTTTCCTGTCGAGCTGATTGATACTTAACGGGCCGAAGATCTTTCCGATGTCTTCCAGTTCCTGCAAATATTCCATTGTAAAGCGGCTCACGGTAGCTGGCCGGCCCGGTGGCGTAGGGGTGTCTGGATCATACATCTGAGGGTTGAAGAACTTTGACTTACGGTCGAGGAGCCAGAACGCACAAAAGACATTGTAGACATGTTCGGCGAAACTCTTTTCGGTTACGCTCTTGGGCTGGGCGTGAGAGTTGGTGAACCGCAACACGGGACAATCTTGGTACGGCGCCAGATATACGATGCGCTCCGCTAACTTAGGGAGGCTGGAGAATCCGCCGTCGTCCCCCGCGTTGCTAAGCGCGAACACGGTATCCATTGTTGCGCAAAATAGAGAGTTGGCAATATCGCTTTCTTGGCGATCAGGGGACAGACTGCCTGGTCTACCAGGAGCATACGATTGTGGCGACGCAACTGGCTCCTGCAATGGCGGGGTGGGGACTCCAACGGGCGCCGCCGGGGCTTGCGACCATGGCTCCTGATAATTTGGTGACGGCGGCGGCGGTGGCTGTCGAAGGGGATGGATATTCTGTGACGGTAGTGTGAGAGCCTGGGGTGATCGAGGAGAGGGCTGTACGAAGGGAGATGGGCTTGGTATTGATGGGGGGAGAAGGTATGTCGCCCCGGACGCCGCGGGTGCATGGAACGAAGCCATAGATTCTACTGAGGCTGGCAACGTTTCTTGTGGCGCGGCGTGGGGCATTTGTCCCTGGTCTTGTGGCGAGGGCGGCAGCATGTCTTCGGGTGGTTGAAATGCCGCCCCGAAGCCGGACGTAGAGAAATCAGATAGACCGGTAACTGACCTTTCCCCCACCTCGGGCTGATTCACGGTGGCTGCAGGGTCCCAATGTAGGATATGACGCTTAGGCGCAGGAACTCCCTCTGGAGAATAATCCAGTCGCCTTTTTTGGCGTTGGAATGCATCGTCGGTCAGTGTCTGACGTCCTGGATCGCAGGCCAACACGTTGACCAGCGCGTAGTGTAAATGTCTGAGAAGATTTCCGTACTCACGCAGAATCTGTAAACCCAGAGTCTGGTTCTCCAGACACTCAATGAGAGTGGAGATCTGGCTTGGAATAACATGGGGGATGGAAGGGTCAGCCATGACGGAATTGATACGATCGGTGACGCATAGTAAAGTAACTTTCCATAATGGGAGCGGATCAGGCGCCGGCACTGTTTAAATAAGAAAAACCAAAGCCGCGGTGCCGGATGGTATAAGATATAATAAATAGAGATCGGCACCGTTTCGGAATATCGATAACTATATGGATTGACATTTTGCAGGGTTATCCGATTTTGACAAGTCAAATATTGTCCACATCGAAAGACCTCGGGACAACCTTCGACGGACGCTTAGCGGTACCGCAAATATAAGCGGTGCGCCGTTCAAAATCAACTAAAGCTGGCGGAGGGTTACCGTAGATTCTTCGAATTTCTTAGCTCGGTTATAGAACTCGTTCTAGCGGTCCTACGTCATTTGGCCAAAAGAGGTCAGAATGAATCGATATATTCCTAGCTTCGTTTATGTAACCTAAACGAAGGCGGCCGGGGAAAGGGGGAGGAAAAAAAAA